ATAACATGTGGAAACAATTTACGCACAATGGATGTTATAAATGAATCGACTTGTTTCCACGTCTTGTGTCTGAGTACAACGCGCGAAAGCATCGAACTATCGATATGCGGCCTATCGATGTAACTTCCACGATTGCACTCTTAAGTACAATAGCGTAAAAGCTATCGCGCTCGCACAAGTGCTCAATTCAAAGTGAGTAATTCGGTACGTGTGAGCAAATTCAAGACGATTTTTGCGAAAGTTTACATGCCAAATTGGACCACGGAGGTAGTTAGAATCATCAAAATACAGAAAACTAATTCTGTGACGTATCTACTAGAAGATTACCGTGGGTAACCTGTCGTTGGAGGATTCTATGAGTTGCATCGCGTCGTTAATCCCAACGTATATCTAGTTGAAAAGATGTTGGATAAAAAAGGAGACAAGGTTTACGTGAAATGGCTAGAATTTGATTATAGATAAAATTCGCACAATTCTTTGATACACAAGGATAGTGTATCGTAAAAAAAATGTATTACAAAGTATAAATATAATATTACGTATTATATACATTATGCATATTACACATACATACATACGAGGTGTGATCAAAAAGTAAGGTGACTTTTTGAATTTCGCGCGCTCTGTACACTCTAATTTAAAAAATGTTTTTTGTTGTGTTGGTACACTCGTCACGATCATATGTTCACAGTTTTGACTATATAGTATGTGTTGTTTTTATGTGAGAGGCATAAAGGTTAGACTCGTGTTTGCATGCTCGGCGATTTTTTGCTTTTGAAAATAATGGAGCAGAGAGTTTGTATTAATTTTTGTGTAAAAAATGGTATTAAGTGTTCAAAAACTCTTGAAATGTTGACAGTGGCGTACGGTGAGTCAACTTTGAGCAAAAAAAATGTTTATAAATGGTATAAGTTATTCCAAGAGGGCCGAGAAAATGTTAACGATGAACCTCGCTCTGGACGCCCCAGCACGTCAAAAACCGACGAAAATGTTCAGGAAGGGAAAGAAATTGTGTTGAAAAATCGTCGAATCACGATTAGAGAAATAGCTGATGATCTTAACATATCGTTTGGCTCATGCCAATCAATTTTAACGGATGTTTTGGGTATGACACGTGTGTCAGCGAAATTCGTTCCAAAACTGCGTTCCAAAACGTCGTTACTAGTGAGTAGTTTTTTGGCCAAATACAATCATCATGCCTCAGCCACCATATTCACCAGACTTGGCCCCCTGCGACTTTTTCCTCTTAAGGCCCATGAAAGGACGAAGATTTGCGACGATTGAGGAGATTAAGGCTGCATCGCTGGAGGAGCTCAAGGCAATACCCAAAAGTGCATTTCAGAAGTGTTTTGACAACTGGAAAAAGCGCTGGCACAAGTGCATTGTATCAGAGGGGGATTATTTTGAAGGGGATAACATAATTTTGGATGAATAAATGAATATTTTTTTATAAAAATGAAAAGTCACCTTACTTTTTGATCACACCTCGTACATACATACATATATACATACATACTACACATACATATACGAGGGCAAGTCAATAAATTCTTAGAAAATCTGTCAGAGGGGACTCGAAGTGTCATGTCATTACTTTTTGACAAGTAGCATCTTCAGCTAATTACTATCAAATTTTGAGCGAAATTCATCGTGTGATTCGATTTCTGTAGATGATTAAAGCGAACAACCTTCGTTTTTTTTGCAAAATGGAAAAAAACGAGTTTCGTGCAGTGATTAAATCATCTACATATGAAAGGTTTAACGCCGAAAGAAATCAAAGCCGAGTTGGATAATGTTTATTAGCACATCTGCACCAGCGTTTGCGACTGTATACAATTGGGTGAATGAATTTAAACGTGGTCGTACATCCATATGTGATGCACCTTGTTCGGGACGTCCAACTGAGGCTGCTACGCCAGAAATCATCGATAAAGTCCACGATATTGTTTTGACTGATCGACGAGTGAAAATGCGCGAGCTTGTTGAGACCACAGGCATATCACATGGAACAGTAATTTCAATTTTTTACGAAAAATTGGATATGAAAAAGCTATCGACAAGACGGGTGCCGCGTTTGCTTACTGTGGATTATAAGCGCGTGTGATGATTTCGAAACAATGTTTGGAGATGTTTCAACGTAATCCAGATGAATTTCTGCGTCGATTCATTACTGTGGACGAAACATGGATCCATTACTTCACACCCGAGACGAAAGAACAGTCAAAACAATGGACTTCACCGGGTGAACCAGCTCCGAAAAAGGCGAAGACCGTGAAGTCGGCTGGAAAGGTGATGGCCACAGTTTTTTGGGCTGCACGCGGTACAATTCATATCGATTACCTTCCGTCGATGCAAACGATCAATGGCGATTACTACGCAGCCTTGTTGGACCGTTTCAACAACATTTAAAAAAAAAAACGTCTCCATTTGGCGAAGAAGAAAGTGCTCTTCCAAGACAATGCACGGGTTCACACGTGTCCGGCACCAATGGCCAAATTTAAGGAATTCCGCTACGAATTGCTTTCCCATTCAGCATATTTGCCAGATTTTGCCTCTTGCGACTATTTCCTGTTTCCAAACTTGAAGAAATGTTTCGGAGGATAGAGATTTACCACCAGAGAGCAGCTCATCGCCGAAACAGAGGCTTATTTTAAAGGATTGAACAAATCATATTATTCAGACGGTTTGAAAAAGTTGGATCAAGTGTATCGAGCTGAAAGTAGACTATGTTGAGAAATAAAAATGAATTAATACAAAAAAACGTTTACTTCGTTTTTTTAAAAACTTATTGACCTGCCCTAGTATAACATGGCATCATCGCTACGCTTTTGTATTTCTGCGTCTTCTCGTCTTTCCACTTATTGATTACGTATAACGTGATACAACATTTATTATAATTAAGATAACAGTACCTGCTCCTACGGATGCACTATCGGTACGCATATTAATTTCATGTAATTTCATGCGCTATCACTGTTGTGTGAGGTAATAGATCTCCTTCTAAATGAAAAATGTCATTGAAATGCTCGCATATTTACTCGATGGTTTTCTTTTCTACTTTATTTAGATGCTCGGTTTTATCTGCGTTCGTACACGCTCCTGCCGCGGTAGTGTTAGTGTGCTGCTTTCGTTACCTGTCTTTTGCACTGTGTGTCGGTCACTCGATCGTAACTCTTCTATTGTTACGAATGGCGTAATTATTTCAATGTTTTCTTCCGTAGTATTATATTTAACATGCTTATTGGGCACGTATAATCGTCGGATGCTACTAGACAATATCCGACAAATATCTCTAGTCTAGTTTTCTCTGATTTAATTATTCCCACATGATTTTTATCTGTGACTGCTCGCACTATTGTTTCGTTGCGGAGAGTTAGCGTTATTTTCCTGTACGGATGTAGTTTCAAAGATATCCCGTCAATTTGCAAATAGTTTTTCTGATCGCTTTTAATTTTGTGCTTTTGTAGAAAATCCATTCCGAGGATTTCTTCGTAGGAAAATAATCTCTCACGACATGCATGGTATGTCGTATTTCCTTGTCGCCTAAACGTACCGTTGCTTTTACTTTTCCGATTGTCTACTTGATGGCCTGTCACGTCGATGAAGGCTATTGGCTTTTCTCATATAAGTGTTTCGCCCTTTAAGTTTCCTACTTTAATTAAGGTAAGTATCGCGCCTGTATCTAATAATAGATTTATCCGACCTTTCTTCATTTCTTTGATCAATAGCATTACAAGCTTATGGCCGGTATTCGCACGTTTTCCGGTCACTTGCGTAAATTGATGCTCGCTAGCGGCTCGCGTTTTTCCCGTTCTCCTTTTCTCCTTTTCTTCTTCACTACTAGCGTACGACGATTCTTCGCTCTCGCTTTGTTGCTTATTCCGTCTTGTCTGGACGGCAGTAGTTACACGCTTCGTCTTACGATCAGTGTCTCGCTCCGCGTTTTGCTTCATCTCCTTGTAGGGCCGTCCGTTCAATGATCAGCTCGTTCCTTTTATGTCCTGCCTATTTGCAATATAAGCAAAATTTCTCAATGGCATTTATGCTTGCTGATTTATCGGTTTGGAGCAATGAAAATCTGTTAGCATAACGGCTTGATCAACAGTCTTGTTCATAATGGTCTACTTTTCCGCATTTGCTGCACTGTATACTTCTGAATCACTGTATACTCCTGTATACTACTGAATTTTTTTAGTTTGAGTTTTGCTCATATTTATTGCGATCACTATTATTCGCTCGTGGAGCAGGCCCTTTCACGCATTCTTCCGCGCTTGCTGCATTGATAGCTTCTTACAAGCTTGAATATTTTTGTGATCGTACTATTAGTTTAATATCATCTCGCAGTCTCAGCTCGAAATTTAGTAAAGCTTGATCCTGAATCGTTTCTAAAATAGCTCGTTTGTATTTTCTCGTTTCTCGATCAACGATTCGTATAGCTCCATAGCTAAAGTATCCACACGTCGTCCAAGTGTGAGCGCTTTCGCCTGGCTTTTGTTGTGTTAAATTCTAATTGTAGGTGTGATGTTCTTAAGTAATTGGCTTCTATCTCTCATCGTAATTGTTCGAAGTCTGTCACGCTTCTAGTTTGGAAGTCTAATAAGAGTTTTCCGAGCATGCGTTGTCTCGCACGGCTTCTTCGACAATTCGCACAGGGTTAATTTGGCTAATTCTACGACGCCCTGGTACAGTTTCACTGTATATTTGCGAAGGTATCAGAGCGTTACGCCTGTCGCGATTATATTCGCTTTCAGAACATTTATTTGTTTACAATAATTGCATAAAAGTTTTCGGACTTACATTAAAGCAGTTGATCGCATGTTACTTCGCTGTTCGTTGTCTGACGTATGCTGAGTCACCGTGTGGTAGGTCGCGCCTCTCGGGTTATGCTGTTATCTGCGTTCTGGTCGTCGGCAATATCGGTTGCTCGCCCTGGACGGGGATCTAACTTCTGCTTTCCGCCTTGGACTGCTTCTTCGCCTATTTTAATTGATCCATCTTATTTACTGGCTATTGCTACTGTCGTCGCCGCTCCCAGGTCCTGGATCAGCTATGTGGATCCCACTGTTGCTACCAATTTGTTGTGCCGGCGTTTTACGGCACGGTTCGCAGATCCATAAAGAACTTCGGTAGATGACAATAAACAGCTTTATAGTTTAGAGTAGAAATATATTTAGCAATTTTACACATAACACCAGTGGTTATTTTATTAAAATTCCACTTAGCACTATTCGCATCGCGGTAGATACTGTTACAATTTCGTTTAGACGACGGGCAAAGTAACACGACGAATTTCTTTCAAATTTCTAACTGATGACCGCATTTGCGGTGCGCTTATATAGCTTGATTTTTGCGATAGCCTTGGCTCTTCCGCGTTGGTCCGTCAGCATTCCGCTTATAGGCGAGAACAACTTCCGCACAACCTCTGAGTCTGCATTTCTTAACAATTACAATTTATATTTGTTTACAATTTATATTCGCTCAGAGTCTTCTTTTATATTAATTGTTTAAAAGTATCTTTAAGTATATCTAAATATATGTACTTAAGTATATCTAAATATACTTAAAGATACTTTTAAACAATAAATCAATTTCGGCAATCATTTATTTAACCGTTTATATTTCTGACACGTTCGTGGCGCAATCATCACTTGTGCAATTAGCACTCGTGACTACGTCATGTTATGATTAATTGCTGTATAATGCGTAAAATATTACAAAGTTCTTACGTAAACATTGTTTATCGGCATTTTCAACTAAAATGACTGTGTTTCTCGTTTCAATTTATAATAAAGCCAGCTTCACAAAACTCTTCGATAATAGACAATATTTCGTTATCGTGAGCGTTATGACCTACTCTGACGCGAAGCCTCAAGTAATCGGAAACGATCCACTAGCTTGTTAGAATGTCCCAATGAACATAATCGATTTTATTGTCATTTAGGATCATGGTACATGGTACCTACATTTTTTTCGATTCTTTTACTTAACTTGTTGTTTAGTTTCCTGACGCGTGGCATACCCGTTCCAACTTGTATTTTACCTGACATCAAGTGTGCTACTATACTCTTATATTTGTATCCTTTGCTGCCCACTATTGGATTATCCGTTTTATGTCTGCGCATGTGAGTATTTGTTTACAACAGTATATTACTTTTATATGTTAGTTTATCATTCTCTGTGTAAATAGTGTCGTCAAGAATTCTTTTGAAAATTAATTCGTACAAACCAGGTGTATCTTTGTACTTTACTCCATTTACGATCACAAAGTCATTCGTGTCTACATCGATATATATGTCACCGAACATCGTGCCGTTCTCGCTGAGATATACGCTAAACATAATTGATCGCCTTTTCTCTGTCATCACCGAAAAGCATGTTTACATATTTTTGTCCAAGTGTCCCCAATAGATTATGCAACTTTTCACGAATTTGCCGCTTTTGCAAATATTGTTTAACTAACGTTTACAGTGGTTCATTGCGTTGTACAGTGGTTCATAAACGTCTTCGACTGAGGAAACGTGCGAACGTTCGTACGATAATTCGTGTGACGTATAATTGGAATTTAACGTAACATTCGATTCTTTTGTACCTTGTTTTTTAGACGACGGTGTTAATTGAAGCCTTAAATTATCCATCCAAAGACCATCACCATCATTATCATCTTCATAATCATTATAAACATTTTCATTATCTTCAGATTTTCTTTTCTTAATATTTTTATCCTTTACAACGTTGACTACTTTCTTAATTAGTTGAGATTCATTATTAGCGATGCTCTCGACTGTTTTAGAGGTTTGACGATAAGCTTAAAGTGTTTCTCCAATGCTATATCTTCTTCTATTTTGCCGGTTTTTAAAGCGCGATATTTTGAATCAAATCACTCGTTTTTGCAATTTGTTTCGCTATCCTCTCGCGAGCTCTTTGTTGTTGTCCATGTTGCACTCGAAAGGTATCGTTAAGGTATCGCATTAAATCCTTTTCTGTGTTATCCATTCGTAAGCGTACTGTCTTTGTCTATGACTATTCATACTTTTGTTGTCAACAGCAACGACACAGTTTGCAGAAATTCTCGTAAAACATGTCAGTGTTTACAAGATCATTGTATACATATCTCAGATTGATACCATCCTGTTTGAACAGAATCAACAGATTTGCATTATCGCGTATAAGATGCTTCGGCATCTTTGCGTACGTCTGACACAGATAGAAGCAGTCGACGTCCACGTGTCGACCTATTGCAAAGTATTCTCTGATTGCATCTTGCTTGTCGCATACCACGTCATTAAAGACAAAAATGGAATTTGGAAGCGCCTCGTTTAATGGTAATATATCGTTATTATTGGGGAATAAAAACTAATCAATTTCTTTAATCGGTGCTAATAAATTATCCAAGTATCGGTATTTTGGCTGTTGTAACGACTTAGAGTACACGTTCTCAAAACGTATGCCATGTGGACTTTCCAGCAAATTTATCAACACGTCTGTTTTGCCGCAGTTCAGACTGCAGATGATTCCGCATATAGAAATCAGCAGTATGTTTCCACGCTTACGTCTTTCTTTTTCAGTGTACTTTATTGTTGACATTAATCATTTTGATCTGCAATTGTCACACGGACTTTATATCTTCTCCCTTTACAACACTGATAATATTGAAAAAACGACATCGAGAGCGAATGTATTATGGTAGCGCGCAAAGCGAAACCGTATTCAAAATGCTTCTTATCGTGTCGGACAACTGTGATGTACATAGTTTCATCACCAAAGAGTTGGGACATATATCAAAAATTATTTTACTACGAGAGTTTAAAAATTACATAGATCAACTGTGGAATAGATTACCCGAGCATATAAAGGCTGATTCAGAGATTTAGCAACATCCTCGATGCTTGAAACGTTATAATTTGCCCTGCTATCGATCGCATATTGATGCTCCAGCACCGTTTATAAGAAATTATAGCAAATATCAACAACAACAACAAAAGGCTGAGTTTTTAAATCACGCGATAAACGTACTTCCGATCGAGTTGCATATCCCCGGATATCAATTTTGTGGTCCAGTTACGCATTTAGAAAAGCGATTGGCTAGAGGCGATCGAGACATTAATCCGTTGGACGCGGCGTGTCGCGAACACAACATAGCTTATTCGCGGAACAAACATCTCATAAAACGACACGTAGCTGACAAAATACTCGCTGAAGAGGCGCGGAAACGGACTATCGCGAAAAATTCGGCTCTTGAAGAGAGAGCTGCTGCCACAGCTGTTTAAGCAGCTATGAAAGCAGCACCGAAACAAAAATTGATATGGGCTAGAAAACGAAGAAGAAAAAACCGACGAAAAAACGAATATTACCGGTGGCAAAACGTAGTGGTATCTTACCTATTCTGTCGCTGTTGAGAGTCTTCGGCTCGTTGATCAGCAGCGCGGCAGGAGTCGCAAAAACTATAAACGATAATAAAGCCACGCAACGTCAGTTGGAAGAACTGAAACGTCATGACCACGTCATGGAAGGTAATGGAGTTTACCTCACTCCATACAAGTGTGGACGAGGAGTCATAAAAAATAAAAAAAATGTAAAAAAAACGTTAAACATGCCATGAATGCCAAAGGGTGTAACTACCAACGTACAACTGCAACAATTGGCAAAACGTATGTGTATTCCATATTTTAGAAGTATTTTTAGGCGTACTACCAACAGGAGGAGTATATCGAAACGAGAATGGTGTCGTAAATTTGGATAATGCTGATGAACTAGGTACTCATTGGGTGGCGTACACGAAGCGAGGAATTTGCGCTGTTTATTTTGATAGTTTCGGGAATTTTCGACCATCGAAGGAATTGATGCAATATTTGAACGTAACGCAAATCGATATAATCGCACGCCTTATCAACGTTACTAAGATCAAAGTAACTAAGATCAACTAGTGTCTACAGTTTTTACAGATGGTTGACGATCAATTTAAGACTTGACATTGCACTCTTTCAGTTCAGTATTCATTTAAACATATCACTGACATTTACGCTCATCGGTAGCGTCCTCGCGGCCTGCTATTTTCCGGCCGTAGATTTAAGCGATGGCGATTACGAACTTGGTTTGACGAACTTTGAAACCTACCTTAGTATCTACCTTACGCTATAATGTAAATTCATTGAATAATCAATTTTACTTTGACGAAAATGACAAAGAAATTGTCATTCCCGAAGGATCGTACGAAATACGTGACATAAACAAGTATCTAAGACATGCAATTCTGTTAATCGTTAGAATTAATAAATGTTCTACATATTTTGGTTTCATATATGTTCTCTTTTGTAATATCATCTAAATTTAAGTTGCATCACTCATATCTCGCGCCTTTACGATTCACATGTATGTATACCAATTCATACAAGGGTATGTTATCATGTGTTTTCCTTTTTATCTGACACCACCGTATATCGCCACTGACCGAACCCAAGAAACATGACGACGCTCGGAATGAGAAGGAAGCCCCCGACTCGACGAAGGACGACGCGATGGTCTTCGGTGCTTTTACGGTATCAAATTTAGAGTTTGCATCACGCTTCATGCAGGACGATCAGATATGGATCCTCGATAGCGGTGTCTCACGGCACATATGTTTTCCGTCGGGAATGATTTAGTAAACTAGACGAAGATTACCGCGAATCGGTAAGTCTCGGTGATAACTCAACTTGTGAAATGAGAGGCCGCGGTATAATAAATATTAAAATGTTCGTCAACAGCAAATGGCTAAATGGTAGGCTCGATGACGTTTTATATATACTATCGCTACATAAAAATTTGTTCTCAACCGGTGCACATCAAAAGATTACGTTCTAAAGTTCGAATCGAACAGTGTATTTATCGCGATGCTTCTATAATGGCCTACGGAATCAAACAAAGTAATAACTTGTTTCGGTTATTAATTAAAGTTGTTGTAAACGAAACAAACGTGGCCGCAGTCTAAGAACATGGCACGCTTAGGCCATATAAATTGTCAATACCTTCGTGATATGATAAACAATAATATTGTAAGCGGAATTTATGATAAATTTTTTTGTGATAACTGCCAATATGGTAAGCAACATCGAATTCAAACCTAAAGAGAAAATTCGTAAAATAAAGATCGGCGAATTTATTCATACCGACGTTTGTGGCCCAATGTCCGGGACATCAATCGGAGGCTCTAGATATTTCTTACTTTTTAAGGATGACAAGTCAGGCTTTCGCCATACCTATTTCTTGAAACATAAGAACGAAGTCATAGACAAATTTAAAGAATTCGAACAATTAGTTTTGAACAAATTCGGGACGCGTATAAAACCGACATGTTAGAGCCGACACGGAATTTTGTAATAAAAACATAACAAAATTATCTTGCTCTTTGCGGAATCGTTCTTGAAACATCCGCACCGTACACATGAGCAGAATGGTCTCTCAGAGAGGGAAATAAAACAATAGTTGAATGTGCTTGTACCATGCTACTTGCAAAAAACTTACCTACACATCTATGGACCGAAGTTGTAAATAGCCGCATATACATATACTGAATTGATGCATTTATTCGCGATCGCGTAATGTTACTCCCTTCAAAATTATGGCACGGCAGGAACTGACTTGTCGCACATATGTAAATTTGACAGTGACGCATTTATGCACGTGTCTAAGGAAAGAACTGGGATCCCAAATCTAGAAAATTAATTTTGGTGGGATATCACGGCGAATCTACAAACTGTAGGCTCTTTGATCCATCCACGAATAAACTAACAGTGGCAAGAGACATTGTGATTAATGAAATATCCGATAAATTGAACAGAGTATCTAATAATGTATCGCCAGACTTAATAGTTATCGACAAAAATAGTTCTAAATCTCTCAAACAAAAGCAAAATCAATCCCTTGAACAAATTGACGAAACAAAGAATTCAGAGCAGATAGGACAAGCCGCAGCTTGTAAATAATAATTTAATGAACCGAGAACTATTAAAACCGCCGAATCGTTATGAAGCAAGCGTTGCGACATTCGACGAACCAACAATCTTTACCGAGGCAAAAACGCAGATTGGTGGAAATCAGCAATCAGTGAGGAGCTTGAGGCTCACGTAAAGAATAACACTTGGACTTTGATTCAACTACTTAAAAACCGTAACATAATCGGGTGCAAGTGGGTTTTCAAAATTAAAGAAAATCCAACAGAAAGCGACATCCGCTTCAAGGCGCGCTTGTCCGTAAAAGATTCTTCCTAAAAAACTGGTTTCGATTATACTGAGACCTTTTCCCTCGTAGTTCGCTACGATTCACGCATCTTTTTGGCGATTACCGCGTGCGAGAATCTAGAGTTAAGCCAATTCGATATCAAAACCGCATTTATTAACGGAATTCTCAACGAAGAGATACATATGCAACTACTGGAGGGCATTGATACAGGAAATGACAGAATGGTCTGTAAATTAAACAAGGCATTACATGGTCTTAAACAGGCGGCAAAGTGCTGGAATAAACAATTTCACAAATTTTTACAAAGATTTAATTTCCAGCAAGGCAGCGCAGACCATTGCTTCTACCTCAGGACAGTTTAAAGGCAAGAAAGTGTACCTTGCTCATAAATGTCGATGACGGACTAATCATGGCACCATCGCAAGACACGCTAAATAAAATTCT